AAACTGGGAAACAACTGGACACACATTCACTTTTGATTCAGGAAATGCAGCCACATGCCTGCAGTGGCTGAACCCAGGGGACACTAGAGCACAGCTCTCTGGCACACAGCCAGCATGGGCTGTGTTTTTGATTACTCTTCCTGCTGCCCCTGAGGTCTCTGGGATTTGCAGTCCAGAATCACAACAACAGGACTCTGCATGGTTGCTCATCACTTCCTCTTCTTGCTTCGAGGTGCCTCTGGCATTTGTAGTCCACAGTCGCAGCCAGCAGTAAGTTTCAGTAAGTTTAGCAGCAGGGCAGCTCTGTACTTGGGGGAAGGTGGGTTTAACCCCCACTCCCTGGCCCCAGACCCCAGCTGGGGTTTGCCGGGGGCGGGGCAGTCCCTGCCTCCCTCCCCACCCCAACCCTTCTCTGCTGGAACAGACAGCACAGCCCAGCCCAGGGTTGGAAAGTATGCTGGGGGACTGTGATTTAACTTGAACTAGGAAGGGGTCTGGGACAGAAGTTTTATAAACTGGTTTGACCCAGATCAGTTAAGTCTGATATTACATTCAACCAGGTTTATCTTAAACCAGTTTCAGCCATTTTGATACTGGTTTATGTTCACTGAACATCTGTTCTGTTGCAGGTTTAAACTAGTTTCTGGTCACTTAAACTGATTTATGTGTAACTTCTGTCCCTAGCCTCTGTGCCTCAGTTCCTCGTCCAAAATAAGGATAGCAGCATTTCTCCATTCTCATTAGATAAATACATCCTCATTAAATAAATTGTGAGGAAGCTACAGTAATGTTGCAGTGAACGTTGCAAAATTATCTGTGGTTGGTTGTGATGAATGTGGAAGTATCCTGCACCAGACAGGTGATTAACTGGTTCTTTTGATGGGTCTTTTCCAGTTCCAGTTTCTACAATTCTGCCTTTCTGGTGAAGGATTAATTTCAGGTCCCAGTTCTGCAAACACTTAGTGCATGTTCTTAACTTATACATGTAGAAGCATGGGTGACTGGTGCCTCCTGAGACTGGGGGGGCACAGTTTGTGGGCGGTAGAGTGGCAAGCAGCAACTGCCTGCAGACACTGGCATCAATGTCAGCCAGTGCCTCCCCCCGTGCCCTCCCTACCAGTCGCCTATGTGTAGAAGTGCTCTCCTGTGCAACACCTGAGATTTTTAGGTGACAATATTATTCCTTCCCCTCCTTGGGAAAGAGACAGATAAACTTCCCTCCTCCACAAAACACATGAGCTGTGCTTTGCATCCTGTGTAGCATTTGCCTCTTTTCCCTTGTCAGGTAGAAAAGAGGTGCTTGTGCCCATGTCTGAAGCAGAAATCCTGTCTTTTTTGTCAATACACAAGAACCCCCTGCCTCTCCAGTGGAAACATTTTGATGTCTGTTGTTCTGTGGTTTGTTGTGCAGGAGGCAATAACTCGAGTCTGTACCGAACAGAAAGGGCACCTGATGAATCACCTCGCACTTTCAAATAGGTTCCAGCAGGCACATAAGTGCATGTGTCACGGCTCCCACTAAGCACATTTTCAGCACTATGGTTTGGCCACATTCATATATATTCATTCTTTCATAGTTATTGTTATTGCTGTTTTTATTTCCTTTCAGCTTCTGAAACTGCACCTAACATTTCTAGCAATACTATGCAGTTAACACGAGGCCTTTTGTTCAGCATATAGTCTATGGACTGGGTTAATTTATCACATCACATTTTCTTAAATCGGTCGTCTCTAAATGATACATAACAAGGTGAAGAAAACACAGGAATTGCTACAGGCTGCAGAGGAGCCTGCCTTTAAATGTTCTCGCTATCATGGTGTCTCAGGTTTTAAATATATGTTTGAGACGTCTGCATAGGAATTCATAGAATCATAGAGAAGTAGGGCTAGGAAGGACCTTCAGAGGTCATCTAATCCAACTCCTTGCCCAAGGCAGTATCATCAGTATTGTATGTGTATGGTGGGTGGTATATAATTTATTACGCAGTCCAGGTTAAAAGATATGGGGCCATATGCTCTTTTCATTAAATCAGTGAATCCACATTGCCTTCAGCATTTCATGAGAACAAATGGGGGCAAAACTTAACCTACCACATTTGAAGACATCAAAGAATGGATCTCATAATCACAGAGGTTACTTTAGGTATATTAAATTGGGAATTGCTCCTTTACTGCTGGTATCAAGGACTGTACTGAGTCACCTTAAAACATTTAAGTTGTAATCACAGTGAAATTTAGTCATGAGAAGAACCTCTACTTCAGGGGTGGGCAATTATTTTGACCAGAGGGCCACTTAAGGAGTTTTAGTGGCTGTCAGGGGCTGGGTCAGCACCTGTACCCTGCTCACCAAAACTTCCTAAGTGGCCCCTGTTCTCGGCTGGGTAGATAGGATGAGGCTGTGAGCGGGTGGGGAGCAGTGTCCCGGAGTGGGATGGACAGCTGGGACTGGGGCCAGGGCTGGGATCAGGATCACATGGCCATGACAGCGTAGGACTGGGGCCTGGGACAGAGCTGAAATCCACTCCCCGCATGCCCCTGCGATGGGTGCCTGGTCCATGGACAGGGACATGCAGGGAGTAGATCACGGCTCCACCCCAGGCCCCAGCGCTGCACTGTTACTGCCCAGTGATCCTGGGGTCTCCAGGCAAACCGGCTGGGACCCACACAGGCAGGGCGCACAGCCGAGCGGATGGGATGGGGCCCCGGGTGGGCTGGGAGGATGTGGGAGTGGGACGGGCGGGCAGGACCAGCCTCATGTGCCACAGCCCAGACTGCCTCCCACACCTGGGCTGGGCAGGGCTGAGGGACCTGCTGTGGGCTGGACAAAATCCCTTGTTGGGCTAGATGTTGCCTGGGGGCCGTATTTTGCCCACCCCTGCTCTAGTTCAATTCATTAACTGTAGTATGACTCTTGCTGATGGATGGTTCTTTCCTCTGGTTTGGCTCAGGTCATATTTGGGGAGTATTTCTGGAAGTGAGCAGAAATGTTGCCCACATACAGCAAGGTTAGGGTGAAGCCCCCTGTGTGTGTAAATATGTTGCAGATAAATTACTGGATGATCATACTTCTCATGGTCTGAACAATACATCACGGGGCAGATTTTTCAAACACACAAATGGGAATTAGGTGCCCGCTGGTTTTCTGTGGAAGATATCACCTAACTCTTTTTTGTGCTTTTGAAAACCTTCCTCCCTATCAACCAATCAGTCATAAAAAGGTACCTAATGCAAAAAATTGCTCTTTTACCAGGGACTTGCTTTTAATTTTCTCAGGTCCTCTCTTTTTTTTTCTTTTCCCATTGCAGCTCTGCCATTGACATTTTTCAGGTCTTGTTGCAATCCAGGGTATTAACAGGATTTAACATTTTTTAGCTAACTAATGATGGAGATATATGACTGGCATATTCTAGCCCTACGGAAATATTCTATTTTTGGTGTTTATTAAACTTTCCTGTCATATGATATACACTAAAAATGATGAGCTTTAGATTTCTCGGTATGTGAAAACTGAACTTTTTTTTTATTCCAGCTTCTTAACATATTCCTTTGTGTGTTGCATCACTGCAAGCTGCCAAACTGGGACTTAGTTGCCAATCCATATTCCATGTTAAGAAAAAAAAAATGCTGCCACTCAGGGAGAACATACATTTTTTATTTAACCAAACTGGAAACCTGTTAAAAAATTTTCCACTTTGAAGTCTGTTTTGTAGTTTTAATTAATGCAACGATGGTTTTTATTTTACTCTCAGTGGAGATAATCTTAATCCATTCACAGTGACCTTTTCTTGTGCAAATTAGCTGTACACGCTTGTTTAAGCAAATGGGGCTTCACAAGATGTCTCTTCCTAATGACGGGGTTTATAATTGAAAATTGGCTTACTCCCATCTGTCTGGTCTGTGTGAGAATATAAAAGTAGATCTGGACTTATATGTGTATATACCCTCTTTCTATATGCATACCAAGAAATTTCCAATGCCTGCAGGCTATGATTAAATTAGATTATTAGTGTTAGAAAATTTCAGTGCCACAAGTTACTGTCAAAGTAACACCTGTCTCCAGTGTCCATGGAACTCCTGAGAAATGAGGGATATTTAATCTTGATCCTTTTGTCTTGGCCCCAGCAGGCTGGCAGGGTCAGTGCCATTTACAGTTCCATAGGTTTGCCAGAAGTACAATTAGCTAATAACTGGCTTGAAACTGTTAGAATTTGATGTGTGTTTTTGGTAAATGGCTTTGAAGTGATTGATGGAATCAGAACAAAAACAGTAACATCTAGCTTAACGCTTTAATTTTGAGGAACAGGGGTCAATGGAGCTATATGGTTAATTGTCCAAATGTGTTTCTATGCTTTTTTTTTTAAGCTGATGTTTCCCTGTCTCCTACTCCCCACCAATACCCTGCCATCACAGTCACTGAGTGTAAATCACTATAACCACTATTATTGAACAGGAACGATTTGTATTGGTTAGCTGAATGTTCTTACTTAGAGGTGAGCAAATGGGGGCATATGGTTCCCTGATGGTGGAGCCTTGACACTCCATTTTTGTGAAGTTGATTGGTCTTAATGTCTGTGTTGTCCTCTCAAGCACAGAAGTGTCCCAAAGATCTATCAGAAGAACAGCCATCAGTTTTATCTATATATAATAATACAGTTAAAAGATTCATAATAAAATGGATGATTCTCAAGGCAGAATCCTTTTGTTCATTGTCTGTGGTGTGGCCCAAAGCCCTCTCTTCTTATGACGATTTTAAATACTTTCCCATTTTGATTGCCTTCAAATTGTGAATAAAGATGGGGGGAGGAGAAGAGAAGTAAAAACCACATGCAAACATGTAAGTACACACGCATGGGAAGCTATTTAACATGTTGAGCATACAGATGTGAGCTTGATCAGAGCTGATTTTATCCAGATGTACATCTGCAGCTGTTTGTGTTGTCATGCACAAGACTCCAGGTCTCATCATTAATTGAATTTTCTTTCTCTCCTGTTCCCATTAGGTATGATTATCGTGAAATGCTGCACAATGCCACTTTCTGTTTGGTTCCCCGTGGCCGCAGGCTTGGATCCTTCAGGTTTCTGGAAGCCTTGCAGGTAAGTGCTGGGTGGAATTCAATATCAAACTTGCAATATCAAGGAAGTGGGGAGGAGGGGAATGTGTCTAATTTCCCTAGTGGATAGTAACCCACTTTGCAAAAGCCTTTATTCATGCTTCTAGAGCAATTGGCAGCTTCTTCCCAGGAGGTTGTGAGCCCTGAGCTCATCTGAAGATTGAATTATGTTACCTCCAGGAGGAGGGTTTCCCTGGTCATAGAAGAGTATGTGAAGTTGGATGAGTTCAGAGCAGTGTTTTGTAAAGCTGTGAGGCTGGATTCCCAATGGAGACTCTGACCTCCTCTAGCAAGCCCTGGGGCAAAAAGGGTAGCTTATTGTTTTCATTCAGCCAAAGCAAACTTGCCTATACATTGTTTATCTTGCTGTGCTTCATATTGAACATGCAGATGAAGGCTCAGTTCTTCTAAGTCCTAACTGGAAATGACACAGCAAGAAGGAAATTCAAATGGGCTCTTATCTGCAGTTTCAAAATATTGTTCTGTTGTGTCTCAGAGGCAGGACTCCCTAAATTCCCTCCATTGCTGGAAAATTCTGCAGTGAAAAAGATGTCCTTTTCTTAGGTAGCAGTAATGCAGGGGTGGGCAAAATACGCACTGGGCAGCACAGAGGCGGCGGTGGCAAACACTGCCCAGTGCAGCAAGTGCGGGGGCTGCTTTCCTCTGGTGCTGAGCACGGGGAAAAGAGGCCCCTCGCCTGCCCCATGGCCAGTGCCCTGCACTGCAGCCGCTCACAGCCCACGTGGGGCTGCCTGTGCCTGCTCAGGACAGCCCTGTGCGGGCTGTGAGTGGCTGCAGGAGAAAGTGCTGGTCTTGGGGTGTGGGAGGGGCCGCTTTTCCCCCGTGTTCAGCAGCAGCTCATTCCCCGCTGGGGAGCAGGGGGATGGGGCTGCACGCTGCCCCCCGCCTGTACTGCAGGGCTGGGGGGCAGTGGGAGTGAGCGGGAGCATGGAGTCCACACCAGTGTCCCGGGGCCAGCACTGGTAGGGCTCAGAGTAGGGTGACAGGAGTATAGGGGTCCCAGCTAGCAGGGGCTCTATGGAGCCAGGCTAGCTTCCCTGTCTCCCTGCTGGTACAGCCCAGCCTGGCTCCACAGACCCCTGCCAGCCTGCATCCCACTCAGGGCCCCGCTGGTGCTGGCTCTGAGATATTGGTCCCAAGATGGCGACCAGGGTGGGGGCACCTGTCAAGGGATGGGACACCTGTCAAGGGGTGGGGCTACCCATGTGGCCCTCGACAGCTTGCCAAAACTGGGTAAGCAGCCCTCCACCCGAAATAATTGCCTGTCCCTGCAGTAATGAGTAGAGCTAAAAGGTTTGTAAATGCTAGGGAAATCTGCAGTTTAGTGTATATGGCATTGGCCTGGTATTCAGAAGGGTTGATGGTAGTTCTGGTGCTACCTCATTCTGTAATCTTCCTTGTATCATGTGAGTTCTCTGCACCTTTGTTTCCATCTGCCCTTTTAAGCTAAGTACAGACAGTCAGAAAGCCAAGGCTGAATCAATTCAGTCTTTGCAGGTTAGTCTACACTGCAGAGATTAAACTGAAAAACAACTGGACAGACATTTACCTTTGATTTGGGAAATGCAGCCACATGCCTACAGTGGCTCAGGCCAGAAGCCAGGGAGCACTAGAGCACGGCTCTCTGGCTGTGTGTTCACTTCCTCTTCCTGCTGCCCCCGAGGTCTCTGGGATTTGCAGTTAAGAATCATAGCAACAGGATTCTGCAGGTTTGCTCATCACTTCCTTTCCTGCTTCCAGGTGTCCCTGGGATTTGTAGTCCACAGTCATAACCAGCAGTAAGTTTGAGTGGGGGGAAAAGGTCTTTAACCTCCCTCCCTGGCCTCAGACCCCAGCCTGGGTTTGCTGGCGGGAAGAGCGAGTCAGCCAGTGAGGCCAGCAAACCAGCCAGGGAGCAGAGGGGCAGAACCAGCCCTCCCCCCCGGAGCACACAGCACTGCCCAGCCCAGGGCTTCAAAGCATGCTGGGGTGCTGCGGGACTGTGATTTAACCTGAACCAGGAAGGGGTCTGGGACAGAAGTTTCATAAGCCACTTTGACCTAAATCAGTTAAGTCTGATGCTACATTCAACCAGGTTTATCTTAAACCAGTTTCAGCCATTTTGAAACTGGCTTATGTGCACTGAACTTCTATTCTGTTACAGGTTTAAATCGGTTTCTGATGACTTAAACCAGTTTTAGCAACTTCTGCCCCTATCCTTGGTAACACTTGTCTATTCAGACTGTAAAATGGCCTCACCATCTTGATGTAATTCAGTTAAGCTTGGCTTCGTCCAGAAGAAACCGAGTTAAAACAAGAGCCTGATCCAAATCCCCTGAAATCAGTTAAGAGTCTTGCCATTGTCTTCAAGGCTAGGGACAGAAATTACACAAACTGGTATAAGTGATCAGAAACCAGTTCAAATCTGTAACGCAACAGAAGTTCAGTGCATGTAAACCACATTCAGAATGGCTAAAACCAGTTTAAGATGAACCTGGATGAATGTAGTATCAGACTTAACTGATTTAGGTTACATCAGTTTATTGTACTTTTGTCCCAGATAGCCTCCAGATTCCAGTTAACTCACAGTCCCCCAGCATCCCAGGATGCTTTGGACCTCCCCCACAAACACCCCCTCACAGGGTGGGCAGGCTAGCCTTGGCTTAGGTTGTGTGCTTCAGCCAAGCGGGAAAGCGTGCTCTAGCACCCCCCCCCCCCCCCTCAACATTTCTGGAATCAAAAGTGAATGTCTGTTCACTTGCTTAATGATTCAGTCTACATAGCTCAGACTAACCTGCGAAGATTGAATTGATTCAGCCTCGGGCTTTTGGACTGTCTGTACTCAGCCCAAAAGACTTTTGTCCAAGTCTGATGTTCTGATCCAGCTGACCACATGGTGGCAGTGATTTATTTATACAGCGGCAACTGTACATTGCTTACTGGCCTTTAGATAAATGTGTTCCACATCCCAAGTGGTTACGCTGCACCAGTAACAAATAAAAGATAGGAAATCTTAGCTGATTCGAAGCTGGTAAGACATGAGATGCATCGTATAACACTGAATCAAACCAAATTAGAGATGAACAGCAACTGAAATTCTGGGTGGTAGTGGTGCCACCTTCTGCAGAAAATGCTATGTGTACTCCTGCATTACTACTTCTGCAGTAATTCCATGTGTACATGGGCATCAAAGTTTGCATGATCACGTGCACATCTCATCTTCTAACGTATGCAGTAATTCTGTGTGTAGGCTGCCTGTGTCCCAGTTATGCTCAGCAATGGATGGGAATTGCCATTTTCCGAAGTGATTGATTGGAATCAAGCTGCCGTCATTGGGGATGAGAGATTGTTATTACAGGTAAGAAAAAGATTGTGGCCTTCAGCAAATCAGTTGATTATTGCTGCCACTGTCTAAAGTTGCAGGGAAGATGAATCCAAAAGGTCAGGTCTATGAAAGAATTTTTATCATGAAGGAATTGCCTGTGTCATACTCAGTATGAACTCATTTAATATGACATCATTCATTTTTCTGCCCTGAAGGTCTCTGCAGCCACCAGACCCCACAGTTACATGAATACCTGAGGGTCACTGCAGCCACCAGACCCCACAGTTACATGAATAAGATTCTTGTTAAATGTATCCAGTATTTCTTTTGGTAGGGAGCATCTGGATGCCATTCCAAGACAGTGTTATCTCATTGGCAGAGCCAGCCATCACTAGATGCTAGATTTTATTCAGATTTTGCCACCCACAGTTATACCATAGGATAGCCTAGCCCTTTTGATTTAGACTGCCTTGTGTACAGGATGCTGATAATGTTGGAAGGACTGTCTTCAGGGATAGGATCCTGCGCAGCATTGACAGAGACACTAGACTCTTGTCTTAACCTTTCTATGTGAGACTTTTCATTTAAAAGGTAGAAGTGATGTCACTTGTCTCTGGAAAATATCATGGGAACTCACTTACTTGCTTATCTCCCTGAGATCCTGGAATAAAAGGAAGCTGAAGAATTGCATATGTATTAATACTGATGCTTGTTGCATTAAGTGTCTTCTCTTCCATAAATAAATTCACTCTGAGATTTTTTTTTTTCACATCTGTCAGGCTGCTTCAGTGTTTGACTTTAACAGATTTGAGGGGAAGAGGGCCTA